GCATTTTAATGGCTCTCTTTCAGACGGAAAAAAATCGAAGAATTATCAGGAATTTGCACTGGGAGCAAAACGCTGCTGTACGAATTAATGGAGAATACAATGAATATAAGCAGATTAGAAGAGGAGTGAGGCAAGGATGCGCCATGCCGTATGGCTTTCTGTAAGAAGGCCCCCTGTCTATTACGGCCACTTTTCTCCTCAACAAAGGTTGGCTGTCTTAATCGGTTTCTACTGAACTTCTCTATGCAGTTTATGTCATTTAGGAGGCGGACTTCCATCCAACTTGTAAAGGCCAGCATGGACTTAGAGGGTTACTAAGTCCCAACATAAAGACCGTACCAAAAAACTCGATAAAAATTTTCCCCTTCACGGGAATCGAATTGAGGATTTTTGCGTGCGACAGTGAAGCGCCTAACCCCTACACCACAGATGCCAGTATCCTGGGGCCTGGAGAGGCATCAAAACTCTCTAAAGCACATTGTGTGTTCAGAATTTCAAAGCATTCCCATTAGGGAATTTGAACCACGGTTCGCCATCGTAATCCACCATGATAATAACTAAACTGTTGGGGCCTCTTTAGCTATTATTGTAATTTTAAACAGAGGAATACGCGAAGTCGCGCTTACAGTCAAATCATTTAGCAACAATTACCACAACACTGACAACAGCAGTTGTTGCAGGATCCAAACTCTTGTGGAAATGAAGCTTTTAAATGCACAAAATGTCGCAGACTCTTCTCGGCCAAAATAAGTCTCATTGTCCATAGCAGAAGCCGCACATTGTTTTGATCCTTATTTCATTTTCTTAAAGCAATGTTCTCTTCTTTAGATGCACTAAGGACAGACAGACACTGATAGAAGGATTACGATTAGTGACACTAGAAGCAACAATGCCAGATACCTTGTTTGATTAAAAGCGCAGACACTGTTTACTCACCAACAACATAACCTCTACAACGCACGGTCAGGCTCGCTTCCACCACGCGCGACTTGAGCTTAGGGCAGCGTGTGGAGCGGAATGACGTGCAGGGGGTCAAACGAGATGACCACTTGCCGCTGGGCTTGCATGTGACAGATTGTGTCTGGAAGAGAATTGTTGTAGTTTTTAAAAAAAGATGTTTAAGTCCTTATCAACACAATTTAGATCAGCCTAGAAAAGAGAGAGGGAGAGAGAGAGAGAGAGAGAGAGAGAGAGAGAGAGAGAGAGAGAGAGAGAGAGAGAGAGAGAGAGAGAGAGAGAGAGAGAGAGAGAGAAAGACAGAGAGAGAAAATGTTGAGAATTATATTAAGAAAAGTTTAAAAAGGGGAACGGGGGGGGGGGGCAGCACACCTCAGTGAACCCTGCACTGTCCTGCTTTATTAAGAAAGTTAACAGCGATAGGATCTATTAATAACAAAATGACATATCATTAATACTGTGTATGAAGAAATATAGCAACAGCCAGATACTATAATATATTGAAAGACAACACTGGTTTCCATTACTTTGCCAAGTCCACTATCATGAATAAAGCTCCTCCTCGTCCTCCTCCACCTCGTCCTCCTCCCCCTCCTCCTCTTCCTCCTCCTGTTCGTCCTTCTCTTCCTTCTCCTCTTTCTTCCCATCCTTCTCCTCCTGCTTCTCCTCATCCCCTTCTCCTCCTCCTCCCCCTGCTCCTTCTATTCCCCCTCCTCCTCTTAATCATAATCATCCACACGAAAAAAAACCCAACAGGATTTCGCCCCTCCTACAACACACTCACTCTCGTCTCGCCAGGACATCGGAGTCTGCACGTGCTGTACACCTGGCGACCCTTGGAGCACGTGACTAGTCCCTTATAAATGGGGTCAAGGTGAGGGCAGGTCACGGCCACACAGCCCCTCCCAGACCACCGGGAGGAGGAGGAGCAGGTGACAGCGCTCAGGCGCCGTCTGTGGAGGAGAATCAGTTCCTAGATTGGAGCGGAATAAACGGTTGTCAACAGAAAAATGGTCACTTTTAAACACAAGGGGGCTATCCCGAAAAATGCTGTTTTTGAGAAAATCGAAGGTAAATTTTTTGCCCCTTATTCAGTTGCTTTAAAAGACGAGGATAGTTTTCTCTATAACCAAACAAATATATACACCAACGAAACCAAAGTTTTCATAGATAGGGCAATACCCACTTTTGGTGTAGGTCAAGATTTCTGGAAAGCCCTGAAATCTGGGTTAGCCCGCTTGTCCTTAAAAGCGACCAAATATTATTATTTAGGACTATGTCTTTGAGAATACCAAGCACAAGATTGTCCTATCAGACATGGTACTGGTGACTAACTGGAAAATGAAGAAGAGTTAGACAAAGTGAAAGTTGCAGAAGCACAATGAGGGATAAGGCTTTCACTCAGGCATGCACACGCACACAAACACATACACACTCACACAAAACACACACATACATGTGTCGTCGGTGACCTAGTGGTTAGGCTACCGGGCTCGTAATCGTGAGGTTGAGGGGTCGGCGGTTCGAGCCGTGGGCCCGACGTTGTGTCATTGGGAAAGGCACTTTACACGAATTTTCCTCACTTCACCCAGGTGGGAATGCATTCCCGGCCATAGACAGCGAAAGATCTTGTCAGTATGTCAGTGTTTTAGCGCCTATAAATGGCTGCTTGTACTGTATGCTTCCCAGGAAGTTGAGTTTGTTTCAGAATGCTCTCAGGTCTGATGGGGTAATAGTATAGGTTGTGAAGCGCATAGAACTTGCTGTTGAGCGGGGGTTTACGCTATACAAATGCTAACTATTATTATAATAATTTTTTTATTTTTTTAAATTACTATTATTATTATTATTATTATTATTATTATTATTATTATTATTATTATTATTATCATTATTATTACATTTCCCCAGATAGATAGATAGATAGATAGATAGATAGATAGATAGATAGATAGATATTATTACATTTCCCCAGATAGATAGATAGATAGATAGATAGATAGATAGATAGATAGATAGATAGATATGAAGTAATTACCCCCCCCCCCCCCCCCCCCCTTTACAATGAAAATTTAAAAGAATAAATTGATAAAGCAAATTTAAACAATCTATAAACAGCGTAATATAGCAGCTCACCTTTTCGCCGAAGCTCCCTCCACTCGGTAGCCCTTCCGGCACCGAATTCGGCACTGAGTATCCACGAGTTGCTGCCCTTTGCGACACGACCTGGTCAGCAGTCGAGCCCCAGGCATACGTAGAGGTGGGTCGCAGCGCACCACGCATTTTGAGTCGGGACTTGACCACAAGCCATCTGATTCGCATCTCACCTTGTTGTCTACACCTGTTATGTGTATGTAGATTTTTTTTCAAGGATAGATAGAAGGTAGGTCGGTAGGCCTTAGGTAGGTAGATCGTAAGCAGGTTAACTGATTGATTGATTGATTGATTGATTGATTGATTGGTTGGTTGGTTGGTTGGTTGATTGATTGATTGATTGATTGATAAATACATGAAGATTGGTAGATGGACAGAAAAGTCTCTGTTTCTACGTCTTCGTTTTCCCATGTTTGTTTCGATAATGCCTAAGGACGAAAACATAGAGAACGCCGCTTTCGGAGACTGACCCAGCAAACGCCGATAGGTATAAAAATTCCCTTATGATTTTCAACTTGCCCCACATAGAGCTGGCAGACTGCAGGCGGCTTTAAACTCGGATCGGCGTAGTCGGCTTTATCGGAATCCAAACTACATTCTTATTACGCCGAAAAAGCGGGAAGGGCGTCTCGCTGTCAACTCGTGACCGCAGTGCTTTCTTGTCGTTTCTCCATTTTTTAACAGTGAAAATGTGACTTCTTCTTAAGCTCACTCTTTGTTGTGAACTGATTTCACTGTTATTAAAAATGGAGATGCGACAAGAAAGCACTGAGATCGCGAACTCTCAATGCCGTCTCGCCGTCGCCAACTCGGGTAGAGCGGTTTGTGTGACGTCAACCGACTGGACAGGGGTCTATTTTAAAAGGCCATTTCAAAGCTGGTGCTTCACGGTAGACAAAAACTAATTACATATTTGAAATCAGCGTCGCCAAATTAGGGTGGTCTGAGAGCAGAATTACATTTTAAGCAATAGTTTAGGAATATCGATTTTTTTTTAAAATCCCCAAATAAATGCTTCATAAATACCAGCTATGTTGTGGTGTAATTTTTTCTTATATCTATATCTAGGCTTTAGGCGCCCTCTATATGGAGTCAAGCAGACACCAGTACCATGTCTGATAGGACAATCTTGTGTTTGGTATTCTCAAAGACATTATCCTAAATAATTTGGTCGCTTTTAAAGACAAGCGGGCTGACCCAGATTTCAGGGCTTTCCAGAAATCTTGACCTACACCAAAAGTGGGCATTGCCCTACCAATGAGAACTTTGGTTTCGTTGGTGTATATATTTGTTTGGTTATAGAGAAAACTATCCTCGTCTTTTAAAGCAACTGAATAAGGGGCAAAAACTTTACCTTCGATTTTCTCAAAACAGCATTTTTCGGGATAGCCCCTGTCCGCGTCTATCTTCAGCCACTTAGGTTTCGGCGTTCTCTATGTTATCACCCTAAGACAACAAATAAACATAAACAACTGGTAACTCAACAACAAATCATTGATGGATACAACCTTACTTAGCTTTCTGCTTCTTCGCATTTGAAGCCCTCAACTTCCTTTTTGTCCCATCAGTCCGTATTTTATAATTTGTCTGTCGTAAATGCGTTGTATTTTATTCAACAATTTCCTTCTAACCAAAAATACTATGTTCAATATGGAGGGACAATAATCCTACTGGAAATGTATACTAAATCAAGATTCCAATCTCTAAATAACTTGGGTTTTTTAATGTAGTTTTTTTACGCCCCCATCAACACTGACTAGTGATCGCTTAGGAGGAAGGCTCCGCCCTTGCTTATCAGGGCCAACCCTGGCTGAGAGGGATAAAATATTTAAGCAGAAAGAGCGATGTACTTGGTAAAAATGTTCCCACTTGGGGATCGAACTCGGGTCTCCCGCATACGACATTCATGAAGCGCCTAACCTCTACACGACAGACGCCAGTTAAATCACTTGTACAAGTTGACAATGAAGATAGACACAAGGCAATAAAATACATGCATAGGCAGTCTGGGACCACAGGCTGCAAAGAAAGCTTTTCATCTTGCATACAATGAACAGGATCTCGATTTCAAGGAAATCTAGCATTTTTTTCGACGTTCTGCAGTGATATAAAACCCGACACGTTTAAGACTGGCCCAGGCAGACAAAAAAGACAACAACCCTGCCAGCCCCCTAACTAATTTAAATCAGGACCAAAACAAAGGAGAAACATCTACATCAATTAATGTTACAGCAATTAGTGTTACAGCAATTAATGTTACAGCAATTAATGTTACAGCAATGCTTTGAGACGTGTTCTAAGAATGCCAAAGACATGATTGCCCTATCAGACCTGGTGTTGGAGACCAATTGGGAAAAAGAAAGAGGAAAACCAACTGGAAGCTATAGATGCACAATAAGGGATGAGACAATCATCCAGGGCCTGGGTGTGCTGAAATTGGAAAACGTGGCCAGGGACTGACAAGTGTGACGTCAACTGCTCTCCGCCTTATGTACCTGACAGTATAGGGAGAGAGTAATTAATTCTTTTGAGTCGGTCCCACTGTACTCACCCTGCAGTTTGGCGGGGTGCCGACATCTAAAGGTACAAATGTCTCCAAACACTGGCTGTGACGTGTTGCACGTGACCTTGGCGTAGGCCAGCGACAAACGGCCACAGGGTACAGGGACACAGATGTTGTCCTGTGACGTCATCCATTGACCTCTGACACACGTCACCTCCATGGCTGAAGGCCACATGAACGAGTAGCTTGTGGTAAAGAGAAGATAGTGGATGTTGGTGTTAGACTATGAACTCCAGACAGACAGACAGACAGACAGACAGACAGACAGACAGACAGACAGACAGACAGACAGACAGATAGACAGACAGACAGACAGACAGACAGACAGACAGACACAATGTGGAAAACAGTTTTGTTTGTAAAATACTCTTATTCTCCGTAGTTTTCTTTTTATGTGTTTTTTCACTGCTTAGATAATTTTGGAGCTGGGCTTCGACTGTGCCAACAAAGGCTTACCCAGGCTGAGAGGGATTCAGCAACCAAAAAATGACCAAAATATTCGATAAAAATTCTCCCACACAAAAATCAAACTAAGAACTCCCGATTGCGACTGCCAAGTTCATATATAACCTCTACACTATAGACACCAATACACAGTGTCTAATGTAGTATGTGGGTGGTTGGCAGGTGCTCTAGTGTGGTTTGCTTCTTTTATCTTATCAAACATATATCGTCTTTATCTCTCCCCTTTTGTGCGCGCGTGCGTGTGTGTGTGTGTGTGTGTGTGTGTGTGTGTGTGTGTGTGTGTGTGTGTGTGTGTGTGTGTTTGTTACTCTCTTCTATCACCTCTAATCCTCTTCGCTAATACGACCTTATTGCGTTGCAAGTGCCGTAAAACTCGAACTAAAATTAATCTAATATTATTTCATGGAACCCCAACAACAAAATCAACATAAATAGGATGTTAGGTTTACCCGTCGTGACAGACAAGAGAACAGACATGGCCGTCTGTAAAGCCTGTGCATTTCACATGCGCGTGAGGGGCCGAGTAGTGACCACAGGTCAAGTTGGTACACTGGGCGGGCACACACACAGCTGATCTGGGACTGCCAACAAGGAGAAAGGAATGAATAAGAATACATGTGTATATCGTTGATTGAGTGTATCTAATTAGTACTCCTTCTTCTTCTTCTTCTTCTTCTTCTTCTTCTTCTTCTTCTTCTTCTTCTTCTTTCTTTCTTTCTTTCTTTTTTTTTCTTACGTTTCATTCTCTTTCATCTTTCCGCCACATACATTCACCACCCAACCCATCTTCCCACATTCTTTTACCAGAACCGTTTGCTTCTGTAACCTTTCTACAAATAAAAAGACTGTCTCTTGGCATCATGTCAGCCTGTATTTCTTGGTGTGTTCCAAGCTGGGTTTCTATCTCCTTCCAATATTCTGACTAGTCTCTAGCTTCCCTCTTTTGCTTTCTACTACCACTCGCGTTCAGAATACGTTTGTAGAATGAATCATAGCGTTTGATATACCAAAAGTGTTATAGACGTTATAAATCCAACTATTTTTTTCTTTTTCTTCTTCTTCTTTTAACTCACAGCTCTTATCATTTCACTTAAACAAAAAACTGAACCAGCTCAACACATCGAAAGTTTGTTAGTCGTACCTGTACAGGTGACCTTCTCCACAAGAGGTCAATGTTATAGGGTCAAGGGACTTCGATGACCTCAACCGCACTCCTGCGATGCTGATATTGAAGGAGGTAAACTGAAGGCGAACACCTAAGAGAGGAAAAACATGTCGGGTATTTGTTATTTGTTACTTGTTAGTGAGCCGCCTCTGCTCCTCCTCCTCCTCCTCTTCCTCCTCCTCCTCCTCCTCCTCCTCCTCCTCCTTCTCCTTCTTCTTCTTCTTCTTCTTCTTCTTCTTCTTCTTATTATTATTATTATTATTATTATCATTATTATTATTATTATTATTATTATTATTAATATTATTATTATTATTATTATTATTATTATTATTATTATTATTATTATAAAATGCCAGTTAATCGAGAAGGGAAGGTGGAATGAGGAAGAAGATAGAAAGACAGACAGACAGGCAAACAGACAGACGGACAGACAGACAGACAGGCAGATGGAGTGAGAAAGAGAGGACACGTTAGAGTCGGAGAAACAGAAAAGGAAAGAGTAAAAGAAGAGAGATGTAGATAATATTACGTGACCTCTTGTTACCTTTTGATTTGAAAAACGGTGTTGAGAGATCGTGTTTCACAGGGAAAGAGAATCCATCTGGCTTGCATTCAAGAGTAATGTCCCTTGGGGTCAGCCGGAAGGAAGTGCCATCGGTCAAAATGAGGTCAACACTCATGTTTTTCGGTGCCATATCTGTTTGATTCCGCCCATCAGAACCGAGGTGTAAGATGACTTCCGTCACTATCACAGGACGTGGAATGTAGACCTTTGAAGTGATAACCAAATTAATTATACATAGACTAATTCTGTAATACCCCAATAAATATTCTGGATCCTCCCAACATTTTAAATATTATGATAAACTTACTTGATCGTGAAAGATAAATACGGCTATATAACACTTGTATGCATATATATATGTATTGATATGTCTACAATGTATTCCTATATTGTTTTATTGTTATTATGTTTTACAGTGTATTGTTATGTGCCTTTCAATTGCCTGGTACCCATATAAACATGCAGATCCAATTCTAGTGGTGATCTAGTAGTTAGGTTACCGCACTCGTAACTGAGATGGCGGGTTCTTGAACGGTCACCTGTACAAACGACCACTTCCCACTTCCGTCCATGCGTTTTTTCTCTATCATAAAGGCACTGTCCAAGACGTCCACTTTTCTAAGACACCCAGTTTTCTCCTCTGCAGTGGATGATGGCCATCATGAACAAGTTCGACTGCTTAATTCTCGGGCAAATAGAAAAGTTACCTCCAGCCAGTAGATCTCTGGTTGATTGGAGTGTCCACAAGGGTACCAAGCTCTCCGGGGATCTCTTACTGAAAGACAATTCTGTGAAATGAAATAGGGAGGAACCATAGATTTTCAATAACATCACAGACGCTTAACTCTGGTGTGCTTACAGCTCAGTAACAGTAACAGGTACTTCCTTTTACATAATTTGGCACCAAATGAAGGGCAAAAGGGGGAAGGGGTGGGCAAAGCATACCACTGTAGTAAGACTGGTGGTTTGCCCTTCATTTGGGAGTACATGATGCGATTATATTTTTACAGAGAGAAAAGAGTGGGAGCAATAACAGTACTCAGTTTAAGGTCTTATATTTCAAGCCTATGAGAAGATCGGATTATGTATATTTAAGAATATTATGGGTGTAGAACGTTAAGGTTAACCTAATCCTCACTTTACCCAGGTGGTCCCGGCCATAGACAGCGAAAAGTCTTGTCAGTATGTTAGTGTTTTAGCGCATATAAAATGCAGCTTGCACTATATGAGTGTATGCTTCCCAGTAAATTCTTATTTCTCCTTCCTTTTGTGTTTGTTGCTCTCAAGTCACATCTCTAGTCTTCGGCACTTATACGACCTAATTGTGTTGCAAATGCCGTTAAACTCTTACTAAAATAAACCGTTTTATCAAATGAAAAGGTAGCGCTAGATCAAAAGTACATGTATGCAATTCTTAATAGCCCTAAGTAGTTGCGAGGCGACTTGTAAGAGCACACTCTAAATTTATCCCGATGGAAGATCGATGAAGTGCAGTTGAACCTGCTCTAATGGCCACCTTGCCAAGACAATCAGATGTACAAACTACAACCCCCGCCCCCCTTTTTTCCCCTTGTCCAGTTTTATAAACATATTTTTTTACATTCCTCAATGACCCTGTCCAACAAGATAATCACCTATCTAAGACAGGCACTTTTCTTTACAACAATGGGTAGCCGTCTAGGCGAAATTGAATCTTAACTCACATGATCATATTCCTGTGTATCTACGGGATGCCCCTCTGGCCAGATGGCCGAATCCCTTGTATTTGCGGGATGCACTTCATTGATCAATATATCCGGTGTTTTTCGGTTACAAGCTACAGGAAGCGGCGAGCCAACAGTTGACCCACTTGTTTCGTTTCGTCAAAAAGTTGGTGAAGTTGTGAGAGATACTTTTTGAGTTGTAACGGACTAAGTCAGTCACCCCCGCATTGTGATTTATGATTTTATTATAAACAAGGCGCAAATTAAAACTGCGTAACCCCAGACATTGCCATTTCAGAATATTGATAACATTTTTAAAAAACTATTTGGACAAATTAGCGCAGTTTTCTTTGAGGGCATATCTTTCTTTCTCTTGTTGCATTTATTTTTTACGATAGCTTTCACAGTCTGTTTGTGGTTAATGCTTCAATATACCCAAAGTGTCAGGCTGCTATGGTTTTTGGAAGAAAAACAGCTCAGGCTCAAGTGAGCTAATCGTATCTCATCTTAACGTTTCTTATCTTTTCTTGCAAACGACTCCTAACTCAGCAAACCACGATAAGCAAAACAAATGAAAACCCATAAGACAACAGTAATCTAACAGCCAATCACAAACACAACATACATCCTCTGGTGCAGGCTGACCAACGGCAGCTCTCGCTGGGCATTCCGGCAGCTGGAAGGCGGGGTTAGCCTCAGCCTCGTGCGCCCATTGGTCGACGAAGCCTTTGGGCGTGTGGTAGCCACAGTCGATGACATTGCTCTCTTTCTCAAAGTCCTCACACAGTCCGTCCCCATAGAAGACATAGCACAGACTTGGCTCACCTGTAGAAAAGGGGGAGGGAGGGGGAAGTAGCCAATGTAGCCATCTCCCTATGACCTGAATTATGTCTATGGAGGTGTAAAATATTTACGTTCATTTTTATGATTCACCCATGTCAGACGACAAGAATTCAATCATCATAATAGGTATATATCATATCAGCCCACAAAAATACCCAACCGTCAGGGTAAACCCATTGCTCTACATATTTTGTTACTTCATAAAATTTATTTTTCCTCGTAAGTGACTGTTTCGTTCTATTTCTCTTCTTTCCTCTTTTCAAAATTGTGTTATTTGCTTATTTGTTGTTATTGGAGTTTTTTGTGTGGTATTGTCTCTTTTTTTAAAGTATTTCTTAATCATATCCGTACGTCCTGGGGTCATTTTGTAACCACAGGGCTGTATTCTTCACATTTTAGAATACTTCTAGAGCGAAGATCTCTTTGAAACTGTCAGTACTTCTCAAAAAATCATATTGACAGACTGCTATGCAAAGTGGACAGATCGGATTAACGAGTAAATTTCCTCTTTGTAAAGTGGTGGCACAGAATTCCCCACTTCGTATGGATACGATAGTAAAACACGATTTACAGATATGGTTAAAAAATAAAACAAACAAACAAAAAAGGCAATTGTACCTTTGCACTTGAAGAGTTCCTCCGTCTTGCACTTGGGGTCACACCCATCTCCTCCCCGCAGATTACCGTCATCGCACAGTTCTCCTAGTTCTCTGTAAGACAGACAAGTCACGTGTGAGACCTCATCCATCCATCCCTCCTGCCCCCCATCCATCCACCCACCCATCCGTCCATCCGTCCATCCATCCATCCATCCATCCATCCATCCATCCATCCATCCATCCATCCATCCATCCATCTATCTTGTGAGCTATCGAGATACAGGCATTTTTCCAATCAAATTGATGATTGGGTTCAAGATTCAGGCCAATGCTAAAGAGCAAAATGGTGTATGTCACAGTCTTGCATACAGCCACCGTTTAAAAGAAATGAGTCCTTCATTCAGAAATATCAATTTGAAAAGTGATTTAGATCACTAAACATAAAAGAAAAACATACCTGTCAATCTGCCCATTGCCACAAAATGGCTGACCAAATGTGTAATGTAAGGTGGGAGATGCTTGGCTGATTTTTCTGTCGGCCACTGCTTCCAGCCAGTAGCTGTAAGACATACCCTTCTCCATGTCCCTGTCGAGAAACATAACAAAGTAAGCATGTTTCATGTTTAGACCATGAATAATGCATACTTTATTACCATTATGGAGCTAGCGCATGGTTACTTAAGTTTCAGTCATGATGGACTACGGTCCGTATGACTGTGATTTCAATCTCAAATTTGTATGATATCTTCATTAATTTTTTTAAATTTGGGTTTTGGAGTTTTTACGTCCGTCATTGGCATGGCTTGGAAGCTAGTATCGCGGATGACTCAAAATACGTTGACCTCGTCGCTTAAATAATCTTACAACGTGTAACTGAGCGTTAAACGCGTGTCATAAATATCGCACACGCCGAAATTAATACATGAGGAACAGAGGCGGGGGATTCGGAAGTGACTAATAAATCCGATAAATGATATACCACGAAAAAGGGAGGAGAAAAGGTTAATACATCAAATCTAAAGATAAGATTTTTATCAAAGGAGATATAGTTTCAACTTGTCCGCGAAACTTTCCAAAGTCTGAAAACTTTTTTAAAATCGCAAAATTTCTCACGTGTAGAGTAAATTAAAATTTTACGGCGATGAACACATAATATGACGTATTCTTATTATAATGTATTCATACTAATACAATCTGTGTACCCAAGGGTGGGCGTACATACACACTCTCACCCATACTGACACGTACACTCACACACAGACATACATAATATATAAAGAGAATTATAGGATAGTGAACTGAAACACAATCCCCATGCAGCCAAGCTGATATACACACATACTCATATACTCATAGTATACTCTCTCTCTCTCTCTCTCTCTCTCTCTCTCTCTCTCTCTCTCTCTCTCA